GGAGTGGCATCTGGGGATGGCCCAAAGAGGCGGCGGAAAAAGAAAGAGGATGTTGACATGGAGGGTGCGCCAGAAGAGACGATGGGAGAAGTAAAGTCTGAGGAAGGAGATCCTCGAATGGAAGACGAAGATGATGCACGTGAAGAGTCATCGTCTCGTCCCCGGCACCGACGGAGTGATGATGGCGAGGATGACATGCCATACGTACCGCGGTGACAAAGGTGTTCGGTGTGAAGTGTGCGCTGTAACAGCTTTGTGATATTTATCATTCTCATCATATCCCATATCCCTTCGTCCATCATATCTGACAAGTTGTACTGTACAACATAATCTAGGACCTACACAAGTTCTGCCTCTCCTCGAGCAACCAATTGCTCCACCACCGAATACAGGGTCAAAGATATATGTCCTTTCCGCATATCTAATGCGGTCCCACTGTAGTCTGATTAGAGAAATCGACATCGGTCAATATTCAGCAACATACTCTGGCAGCCGCACTGGTGGACAGTCCTGTCGAGCAAGTACAAATACTGCACGACCCTTGTCTGGTTCAGTAACTAGATGCGATTGTGATTGTGAGTACCACTCTTCTCGGTGAAACGTTGACTTCCATACCCATAGAAGGTACAAAAGGAGGTTGATCATCAAGGGTCTGCTGGGTCTCTGGCAAACTCTGCAGAACCGAATGGTAGAAATGTTGATCAGTCAAACGGGCAAACCTGGGGACATGATTAACCACCATGCTACTTCGTAAGAGGGCCACAACATACCGACGCGCGTGCTCGACTTCACTTTCTGAGAGTTGCTGCTGGACTTGAGGGTTGGTCATGATATACCGAGCAAACTTCTCGATCTGTAATACATGATGTAGTATCTTAAAAAGGGACTGGAAAGGAGGAAATGACCTTGAATAGACGGGTGCGGAGGTATGACCTCACTATGAATTTGACTCGTTCTACCTCCGTCTGAACGAGCACGATGCGAAAGTGCTCCTCCTCAGAGGATGAGGGGTCTGTGCGAAGGAGCTGCACAGTCTCAGACTACATCAGAGTCAGATTTGTCTGTTGGTCATTCCAAGGTCACGACATGGCTCACCAACCTGACTCCTGATGTGGTCAAGCAGTCCTGCCAATAATTCTCCTTCATTTGGGAGAATATCAGGCGAGTGCCGCTCGTTCATCCAATGTCTTATGAGTTGCTGTAGTGGCGTTTCTTCCTCTTCCTCGAACATGAAGGGAGGTGCATCTGGTATTTCTGCACCGTCGTCATCTCGTGAGGCTCGTCGAAGTCGCTCCTGAAAGGTATTATTGTTAGCAGCACCGCCGGGTCGGTCGAGGTTCGTGAAAAAGTCATCGTCGTCGACGTCCATGAATCAGGTGTTATGGGATCTTGGTTCTGCAAGAGTTGTGCGTCGTTCGCGATCAATAAACGGCGTTAACGCAGTCATCACCCGATCGCGTTTCGGTAATGTCGTTATCAAAATCCATACATGTGTAACATAAACAATCTCGACACTATAGTACATAGATATGTACAATACGAAAGCAGGAACAGCAAAATGGCATAGACTCGTTGACGCTGCAAGTACATGATCCACTTTAAACGGATTCAACGCGAGAGATGCCCACGACATGATGCAGAATTCAATCACGCAGCATCATTATCAACAAGCTTTCCGCAAATGATATATTTATTTGAGAAGTGGTCAATCCATCCTGTGTCTCGATATGAGTGAATGTCGCTATTGAAGCAACTAGTTCAACCTCACCTTTCATGTTCTCGCTAAGCAATCGGTAATGCTATAAGCAATGCAAAGATGAAAGCAAACAAGCCCTTACATTTCGTCTGGTCGGAGATCCTGGAGCTTGTCAAGAGGTTGGTCAACCGCCGTTAGCATTTCTGACGGCATATAAATTAGGTGTCATGTAAGGAGTGTCCAATAGTTCACCCACCCAAATCGAAGGACTGCTTGGCCATGCCACGAGATGCGTCACGACCTGCAAAATTACCATACATGCCATCTATAGAGTATGCCTCAGTCCTGATTTAATGAATTGACGAGGCAAGCAGATGTACCTGGCCCATAAAAGTTCCTCCCCGCTGTTACGTCGAACACGATACCGTTGATGGCGAGTAAAATTCTACCTCCGTTCTTGCCGTCGAATGGTTCCAATGTCTTCGGGGTATATGTCTTGAACAATACAGTGGGAGGGTGTTCCTTGGGCATCCATGAGTAACCATGCTTGAATTCGCTTGGGATTGTTTTAGGTGTGGATGTGGAAGGGAAAACAATCTTCTGCACGGAGTAGAGAATGTAAATGAGGAGAGCTGAATTGACGGGGGTACTGAAGTCAAGAGTGTACGCCATGACGACGTCGGTGGTGGTTCAATGCAATAACTTACATAGTGCGGCGCCGGCTTGCGGACGAACCCGCTCGGCGCTTGAAGTCACTACAGACGGTGACGTGGCTTCTCTAATTAATATTCGTAAATTCATGGCGACATGCGGCCACAAAGTTCCCATTCCGGTTCAGCATACTCAATAGTATACATACTTCTTTTTATATGAAAAAGAAAAAACCTTGGGTCCCGAGAAGGCCATCCTCATGGCTACAGAATCGACGCGGATGGGCAGAAGCCTCAGACACTAGCGCCTATAATCACACAGACAGCAAAGACACCAACAGCCAAGCAGCAGCTAGGAGGCATACCAGAAGTTAGGCAAAAGCGGCCACCACACTGTTCTCTTTTCGCCCTTGTCACCCACCCCTTTCTGTTGCCATCTTTCCCGTTATCTCTTATGGGCTTTCTGGATCTAGACAAGCGAGCTGTGAGCTAGGGGAAGCCTGAGCTTCGTGTTCTTGCAGTTTCAAATTTCAGGTATCGAACTCAAATTTGCAAGTTTTGTTAAGCTGATACTAGCATATAAGAGATGGTCTCTTTCTTGTTGCCCTCTGAGGCACCATTCTATGATGGACATGTCCTGGCGCGTTATAGTCGTATCTCCCAAAGTCTGCGTTGGTTTGAAGTCCCAATACAACACTTCGTTGTCCGTCGTGCTTCTCAACTTCCACTAACCGCTCTTATCGTTATCGTCATTTTCTTCGATCATAGTATCCCGAATGGAACGGTTTCCGCACTAATTTTTGAACCCTATCCTCACTTATTTCACCAGCACACTGTATGAATATTGGTCTTAGCTTCGAGATACAGTCGCGGACTGATGGTTCGCAGCTGTCTACCCGCCGGGACAAGCACACGATGGATCGTGCGGTCACGTAGTTCTATGGAATTGTAGGATGGGCGCAATTGCGCAGCTCCAGTGAGTGAAGACGAGCGTCAAGTAGGTATGAACAGCCGAGAACTTGCAAAGAAAAGAAAAGAGACTAACTAGACAACTTTGAGGCTCGTCGCACTATGAATTGCCACTTGTTTACCTGTCCTGCGCTTTGAAGAAATCCTTGAGCCTAGAACTCGGCGCGACCGACTCCTCTAATGTGCATGGGATGTCTTCCTTTCAATCGACAACCGCGTGCTTGTTTACTCGAATACCGACATGTTGCCGGTCAGGGTGGACTGTACACCTTCGGATGCTCTCTAAAGAAAGTGTATCCGCAGTCGTGCACAAGAACCGGACTCTTGGAGCGCACGTTATACGTCTTCCGAAACCATGCAGGCAACGAGGTAAACAAGTCTGGGCCCGAGCTGGTCCACCGATACATAACTTCAAGATTGCTAAGATTGTTTAATTCAGATCCGCCATCGCGCAAGGGCACCGTGACTATGTGCACTGCGCCTGCGTTGGTAGTACACAGCACACCACGTCGCTTTCCTTGGCATCTCTGCAGGTCCTAGCTCATGCCCTGGATGAGACCCTCCTAATCGCGAATGCTTCCGCTGTTTTGTGGTATGGGTCTTCCGAACAGGCGAGTATTTTACACGTTGACGAAGAACAATTTAAAGATAACAAGAGAACACAACGAAAAGATGGTGAGCTTGACAAACCTCTATGGTCCAAAAAAGGTTGTCGGACAGTGGAACTGCCATGACCGAATCGACGGACATTTATTTTCCTAGACCTGTACCCTGGAAAAGGGTACAGGAGCTTCCTTGGACCCCGAGAAGAAGACCGTCCTCGTGGCTACAGCATTCTCGACTGAACAGAAATAAAAGCATTATTAGGAATTTTGCTCATAGGACGTACTTATGAGTCACTAGCCAGGAATTCAACAAACTTGTCAAAAAGATTTGGATAATTCTGACACACTTGTCACGGTCCGAGGACAAACTGTTGCGCCATTAATATTCTGCCAGGGTTCTGCCAAACCGGTTCTGCCCGGCAGATGTGCTGGCAGAATCCGGTAGAGTGCATTCTCACATTTACTACTAGGTTAATCAGATTCATTGCATATGTGAATCTCACCGAATTCATAGAGTAAGTGGTCGTAGATGGTCGTTTTCATCAAAAAAGATTGGACCTAACCGGAATATCATGCTTCGACAGATCCGCGCCGTGTTGACACTGCTATTGAGCACACTGGCTGGCCTAGCCATCTGTTCGGAGAGTCCAGATCAGATCGTAACCTTTCGTGCGTTGCACAATGCAACCGCCTTCCTTCCTTATCACTCGCCGCGAGTGACACATTTCCCTTTGTTGTTCTTATGCGGGAAGCGTGGAACGGGGGTACGGATAACCAGGCCAACAATGGAAGATCTCAATTCAGTTGATTGGGTCGAAGCTTACTCCAAGGAGCCATGATGCTTTCACAAACCCTCGGAGGAATGTGACGGTGATGACCCATCTAAAAGCTCTGCACATAATCGAGATCTTCGCTGGTGTTGAGACGTGTGATGCGTCTGACTCACGTTGATCATGTGGATGGAGATGCCTCTTATAATGTGAAGTCATTTTGACAAAGAGGGTTTCCAACCTCCCCTTCATCAGCCGGTCGCTCCTGAATTTGCAAACCGTAGTATCTTGTTTATAATTTTTAGGCGCAATGCCGCCACTGCAGCCTCTCTCCACCGCTGAAACGCCAGTTCATCATGAACCCAAAAAACTTTCTCTTACGCGCAAACTAATTTTACTGTTTATGTTCTGTCTTGCTCAGTTCCTAGATACCGTCAATAACTCAGCTCTCCTCTCCGCAATCCCTGCACTCGAGACATCCATGGGTATGACTGAAAGTCAATACACCTGGACCATGAGTGCATACCAGTTGACCTTTGCATCTTTTCTGCTTATTGTGCGTGTCCATCCCATTGATTCTGATTTTACACTTCAACCTGAACGTATTGCTCAGAGCGGCCGCATTAGCGACGTGTACAACCCAAGTTAGTACTATGCTGTACTTTTCAGATAGTGACATTGACGGGCTCCCAGAAATTGCGTTTGTTGGGGGTGTATCTTTTTTTGGTGTCATCTCGCTGTGCGCCGGATTTGTTAGTGATACCATTCCGATCATCGTTCTCAGAGCGCTGGTTGGAATAGGTAAAAATTTCCGTCGGTCTGATGGCTTTGGCTGACAAAGATCGCTTCTCAGCTTCTTCGATGACAGTCCCCTCGGCCTTGGCACTCCTGGTCAAAGTATTTCCCGAGCCGCTCGAACAAGCTCACGCAATAGGGGTATTTGGAGGCTGCGCCTGCATTTCTAACTGTGAGAGTTTCCCCTACCTGATTACCATGACTAACTTCATGGTTCCGTTCCATAGCCCTTGGTCTCATGATTGGTGCAATGTTTGTCCAATGGGCATCTTACCATTGGGTGTTCTGGTTTATGGCCATCGTGGCTGTGCCAACGGCTCTGGCGTGTGTCTTCATCATACCGCCAGAAATTTCAAACACTAAAAACAATGTTGAGCCTGGAGTAGCGAAATGGAAAAGCCTCGACTTACTCGGCGTGACCATCCTAACTGGTATGAATTTTCAGCATGCTCCACTTCGCATCCCTCACGAGCTCCGATAGTTGCCTTGATTTTGTTCATCTTCGCTGTGACATCCGGCTCTACTGATGGTTGGGCATCTGCAGGAGTGCTTGCCCCGCTAATCATATCAATCTTGATGATGATCGGGTTCTTCTATTGGGAAACACGCATACCTGTGGACACAGCTGCAATGTATGCTATCAGGGATGCTTGCACCTACCACCGATCATTGGCTGACCTTGTACTAGACCACCCCGGACATGGTTTTACCCCAATTTCTCGATTCTTTTTGCCGTCGCGCTCTTGCCATTCCTTTGGTGGACCGCAGTGTTCATGATCTTTATGACCCTGTGGCAAAACGCATTTGAGTGGTCGGCAATATCATCGGCTGTACACATGTAAGGTTTTCACTGTCACTCTATGTTTCCCGTCATTTAGACTGTTTCAACTTACCAGGCTCCCGATCGGTATCACAGCTTTCATCATGAGTTTCACCGGATCGCTGTCTCGGATCTTCAGTCCGAAATGGATTATTCTGACAGGCCTATCTTTTTGCATGGTCGCGACCGTATTGCTGGCGCTTGGCGGGGGGAAACCTGAGGACTATTGGCCATACATATTCCCAGCTTTTTCTCTAGGGAGCGCAGGGGTCATGCTGGCATTTACGCACGCAAAGTAAGTCCAAATTATCGTGGTTTTATAACACGTTCTGATTGCTGTAATTACAGTATTGCTATTTTTCAAACCGCACCTTCGTCCATGGCAGGCACAGTTGGTGCCATCTTTAACGGTGCTCTGGAATTCGGATCAGCGATTGGCCTCGCTGGTGTCAGCTCAATAGAGACATCCGTGGAAGCCATCCACGGGGGCTCACACGAGTATAAAGGACGAGCCGCAGCATTTTGGTTCCTCTTTACGATTGTCTCTATCCAATTCATTTCACTGTTGATATTCTATGACCGCAGTGCGGACCACGCACCCCAACCAGATCACGGCAACCCCAGAAATCCTGTCCGACGGAGCACGGACTCTGACGAAAAGCTTAGCGACGCGAACGCGACCACGATCGAACAAACTGAGCTAACGTATCTGCCGGTGTAGGTTCTTTCTTGGTGACTGTTACTTTAGACAACAATCTCCATTGATGATGTATTTTACTACTTTCTTGTTCGTCGACTTGCAGAATAAATGTGTTTTTAATTTCATTATTGGGGTAGGGTAAACTTCATACTGTATTTTTTATATAATGTACCCGCTACCCATCTGGCCATGGGAATATCAGTGGACTGTTATATTGTAAATATATATATTGATGGATGCCCATTTCCCAGGGCTGGGGCGAGCTGGGCTAACTCATCTTGACACTGGTGGACACGTTTGACCACCATTTACTCGTCACTCAGCAAGACATGTATTCGGATACATGAACCTTTGTTATAAGGTAGATACACATCCAATACATATGTAGCGAGAGTTGGTATCAGAATGTGCTGCTTAAATTTGTTGCATCGTTTGAACAACAGTTAGGTGGGCGGGAGAAAGCGAGGGTGGGTGAGACGCATCATGCATCACAGTACATCGACCTGGAGGTGGCTGATATATGAGCAAGCGCGAGAGGAGATGCATCAACAAGCGAAGAGAGGGGTGCGTACCGACTGTTCTATTGTAAGAGCACCAAAAGACGATCACAGGTTCGTGTCATATCGATGCATTAAACAGTGCAACCATAGCGCTCTAGTGATGCGTGATCGGTGCAATTGCACTTTCCCTTTGCTCTTGCTGATGCATCCACAGTTTCTTATAAACAATCAAGAACAGCGGGCGTGAACAAGGTAGTCGTTGGATAATGTGACCTGAAATCATATTGTCAAACTATGTGGCGGCCGACTCGGACTCGCAGCAACAATTTACTTAACGTTGTAGTAATGCACAAAAAGGAGGTAATCCAAAAGAGAAATCCCACAGAACAAATTTCGATCGTCGGAATAGGCTATGAGCTGTTGACACGGTCAGCACAAGGCGTTTGCACTGGAGTATGACATTTGGAACTAAAACACTCGCGCAATATTTCGACAGGTTCGTCGTGCATGAGGCCAATCAATTAAAGTCGGACCGTGGTCGGTGGCGGTGGCAGTCGCACCAGTGACGAGGAGTTGTGAATACGTTATGACTAGGAGTTCTCCAACTTCGTAAACTCGTGGCGGCGGCCGGGTTCCCTCGCCGATATGGTACTAGATCATAGTGTATACTTCAAAACGCCTTGGGTCCCGAGAAGACCGTCCTCATGGCTGCAGCATTCCCGGCTAAACAAAAATAAAAGCATTGTTAATTCATGCGGTGTACTTACTAGGTAGTACTAGGAACAAGTCAAGATGGAAAACGCACGTTGTCACACGTGACAGTATTGTCACGCAGGTTCTCAGGGTGTCCGCGAGTGCAGCGGCAGGCATTGTGCAATCGTAAATGTTTGTCTATTCATAGCATAATTGATAATTATTTCTACTCTACAGATAAGGAGGTGAGTTGCTCCAAGTCACATCGACTCATGCTACTATGGATGGCCATAACTTGAAGGTGACGAAGATTAATGGAAGTTTTGACTTCATTGAATCTGTGGCAAGATTTGGAAGGCCAACAACAAATCTGTAAACACTAGGTCCAGATGGTTTTTGCACCCAGGTTAATTCCAAAACTACATTCGCAATTGTAAGACACAACTTGAAGCATTGATGTCGCCGATCTACAAGCCAGTTTTGTGCACCTTAGACTTAGAATGTTGACGATGATCTTGCAGGTCCAGAATCTATATCACTTGATGAGGTCGACGCAGCATCTGCGCTACTAGAACGTGGGCAAGACGCCATGCATGCATGAAAGTTGGTGCACGACGAACAACATACGACAGGACCTCTGACACCTTTGATGGGCCCCTGACTATCTGCAACACCTCCTGACTACAAGTCCCTGACCTAGCGGAATGCAGTTAACGGAAATGAAGCGTTGGAGGGTTAAGATTATGATTTGGAGCGAGGCTTTCCACCGAGAGTTGCGGCCTGTTGACGATAACGTCATGATCACACCTTACACAGTGGTATGTGGACGCGCTGATGAGTCTTCTAATGGTGTTTACAATTAACTTGTGTCACCTTGCAGTGCTTTGAGAAATTTGCCAAGTTGCGAATTGCCTGCAACACCCAGCACTACCGACAGCCACTAATATTCCTGTCTCTTCATTCCCAACGGAACTGAGAGTCCACGTCCAATTGGTCTGGGCCTTCACTGCGGGATTTAACATATCTAAAATGTAAGTTCGGGTAAGACTCGTGCCACCCTCTTGCAAACCCACCCCTAAAGGCTGAGTGATTTTCCCTTCACCCTAAGGCTAGCCGTGCGGTTTGGAACGCAAAGTTGTCTTGTACATACGAAATGGTATCAAGAATCTGAGCGTCACAATCTTGGGGCTGAATTTATTCTGCTGAGGCAAAGTACTCGTGCTTGTTTTTGTGACGTTGATAATGCGACGAGGGAACAAATGCTTGAATAGTATGGTACATACTAAAGACACAGTAACCTACACTAATCAATGCAATAAATCTGTGCTTGAGTCCCGTTTGTGTAGCCGAACCTACATAATCTACATTATGATAGTCGGGTATACAAGTTTCCCGTGATGGTGCAAGGATGTCCGGGAGACCCACCGTAAGTCAAACATGCGAGTCGTATGTCCGACTTCCCTCAATACACAAGGGTCCAAAAGATAGTAAGCTCATACTACTTACACATGAATTCATGTGCTCACATGAGTAGAGGCTGAGAGCACACAATCGAGATCTTCGCTGGTGTTCACAGTGTGTCTAAACGTTGGTCATGGAGATACCTCTTATAATATGAAGCCATTCATCCATTTTGACAGAGGGTTTCCCAACCTCTCCTCCATCAGCTGGTCGTTCCTAAACTGATAAACTGCAGTATCTTGTTTAGATGCTGCCACTCACGCCTCTCTCCTCTGCTGAAACGCCAGCTCATCATGAACCTAAAAAACTTTCCTTTACTCGCAGACTAACTTTACTGTTTATGTTCTGTCTCGCCCAATTCTTAGATGGCTTCAGTAACTCAGCTCTCTTCTCCGCAGTCCCTGTACTCGAGGTATCCATGGGTATGACTGAAAGTCAATCCACTTGGATCATGAGTGCATTCCAGTTGACCTTCGCATCTTTTCTGCTCATCGTGCGTGCTCATCCTATTGATTTTGACCTTGCACTTCAACTTGAACGCATTGTTTAGAGTGGCCGCATTAGCGACGTATATAACCCAAGTTAGTATTATGTCATACCTGTCAGATAGTGACATTAATGGGCTTGCAGAAATTGCGTTCGTTGGGGGTGTATCCGGTCTTGGTATCATCTCGTTGTGCGCTGGATTTGTCCATGATACTATTCCGCTCATCGTTCTCAGAGCGTTGACTGGAATAGGTAAACATTCCCGCCGGTCTGACGGTTTTGGCTGACGAAGATCGCTTCTCAGCTTCCTCGATGACAATCCCCTCTGCTTTAACGCTCCTGGTCAATGTATTTCCAGAACCGCTTGAACAAGCTCGCGCAATAGCGATATTTGGAGGCTGCGGCGGCGTCGCTAACGGTGAGAATTTCGCCTAGCTGATTGTCCATGACTAGCTTCATGGTTTCCTCATCAGTCCTCGGTCTCATAATTGGTGCAATGTTGGTGCAATGGGCATCTTACCATTGGGTGTTCTGGTTTATAGCTAGCGTGGCTGTGCCAGCGGCTCTGGCATGTGTCTTCATCATACCGCCAGAAATTTCAAACACCAAAGACAATGTTGAGCCTGGAGCAGCGAAATGGAAAAGCCTTGACTTACTCGGCGTGACCATTCTAACTGGTATGATTTTCAGCATGCTCCACTTCGCATCCCTCACGAGCTCTGTTTAGTTGCCCTAATTCTGTTCATCTTCGCTGTGACATCCGGCTCCACTGATGGCTGGGCATCTGCAGAAGTGCTTGTCCCGTTGATCATATCAATCTTGATGGTGATCGGGTTTTTCTATTGGGAAACACGCATACATGTGGACACAGCTGCAATGTATGTCATCAGGGATGCTTGTACCTACCACCGATCATTGTCTGATCTTGTGCCAGACCACCTCGGACATGGTTCTACAACAATTTCTCGATTCTTTTTGCCGTTGCGCTCTTGCCACTCCTTTGGTGGTTCACAGTGCTTATGATTTTTAGCACCCTGTGGCAAAACGTATTTGAGTGGTCGGCAGTATCATCGGCTGTACACATGTAAGGCCTCGACTGTCACTCCATGTTTCTCGTCACTCAGACTGTTTTTACTTACCAGGCTCCCGATCGGCGTCGCAGCCTTCGTTATGAGTTTCACCGGATCGCTGTCTCGGATCATCAGTCCGAAATGGATTATTCTGACAGGCATGTCTTTTTGCATGGTCGCGACCTTATTGCTGGCGCTTGGTGGGGGAAAACCTGAGGACTATTGGCCATACATATTCCCAGCTTTTTCTCTAGGGAGCGCAGGGGTCATGCTGACGTATACGCACACAAAGTAAGTCCAAATTGTAGTGGTTTCATTAACACGTTCCAATCACTGTAATTACAGCATTGCTATATTTCAAGCCGCACCTTCGTCCATGGCAGGCACAGTTGGTGCCATCTTTAACGGCGGTCTTCAATTTGGATCAGCGATTGGCCTCGCTGGTGTCAGCTCAATAGAGACATCCGTGGAGGCCATCCATGGGGGCTCACATGAGTATAAAGGACGAGCCGCAGTATTTTGGTTCCTCTTGACAGTTGTCTCTATTCAGTTCATTTCAGTATCAATATTCTATGACCGCAGCACGGACCACACACCCCAACCAGACCACGGCGACCCCGGAAATCCTGCTCGACGGAGCACGGACTCTGACAAAAAGCTTAACGACGCGAACGTGACCATGATCGAAAAAGCTGACCTAGCGAATCTGCCGGTGTAGGTTCTTTTTGATGTGACTGTTCATTTAGACGACCATTTCCGTTGATGACACATTTCTTTTTTACTATTATATTATCCCATTAGCGACCACACTGTGACGACCTGCAGGGTAGATGTGTTTTTTATTTCATTATTAGAGGTAGGGTAGACTTCATGCCGTATTTTTTGTTAGACCCGCTACCCATCTGACCATGGGTATATCAGTAGACCGTATTGCACATGTGTGAGAGACATACAATTGATGTACTGATCAGATCACAGATAGGATTTGACGCCGAACTTGGTTTGACCGGGTTGGATGCTGTTTGGATGAAAATGGGTGACTAGTATAATTTCCTTTCAGGGCTGGTACTTGGTTACTACTTTCAGCCAGCCTGAGACGCAGCTCCCTTCGACCCTTGCGCCAGTCTCTGAACGACGACAATGAGTTCTGCATATCCAATCCAGTCGTCACGACAGTATACCCCCCACATACGCTCTCAGTGCGAGCACTGTAACGTTCAGGTTGAGTTTCCAGTGCCGTCTCCTACTCCGGCACAAGGTACATTGTTGCGCGTCCGTTGCTTTAAGTGCCAATCAACCTATACACATGCGTTCTATCCTACGCAACTACCACCTGGCTACTCCACTATGTCGAGCTCAACGTTTCCACACAATTCGATGGGTTCTGGAAGTACTCCACCTTCAAATGTCAAGAAAAGTCGTAAGATCGGCACGCAGGAGAAACCTTTGGAAACAGGGTACTATGACCTTCTAGGTGTTCCCATAGATGCAAGCACAGATGATATCAAGAAATCATACCGTACGACATACTTCGATTGATGATGATAGACTTCTCACTTACCTGCTTATCAAGGACGACTTGCAATAAAGCATCATCCTGACAAGAATCGCGATGACCCGCACGCAGAGGAAAGGTTCAAGGAGATTGCCATTGCGTATCAGACACTATCTGACCCAGAGCTCCGCAAGAAATATAACGAGTTCGGTCCCAAGGAGAGTCAGCCCGAAGGAGGTTTCGTTGACCCGGAGGAAATCTTTGGGGCGATGTTCGGTGGAGAGAGGTTTGCGCCAATAATTGGCCAGATCAGTCTTGCAAAGGATATGAAAGCTGCCCTACAAGAGGTGGAAGAAAACGAGGACGAAGACAATAAGGATGTGAAGCGTGATGCAAAGGGTAAGGAGATCCTGAGTGAAGAAGAGAAGGCTCGAAAGGAGGAAAAAGAGAAGAAATTGGCGGCAGAGGTACTCCATTTCTTTTTCCGTTTCACAAAAATCTCACAACAGTGTTCTTAGAAAGCAGCAGCTCGTGCAGAACGAGTCCAGAAACTGTAAGATTTCATAATCTGCGACTCTGTGACATTAACGGCTTTTGCAGCGTGGAGAACCTCGGGCGGAAACTAAGCATATTTACCGAGTCCGCAACAAGTCCATATGACCCTGATGTTACAAATAGCTGGCGCACTATCTGCCAGCTTGAAGCGGAGTGCGTATATCATGCACATACATGTTGTACTCGCTGAAATTATCTTTCTAGGGATCTAAAGAAGGAGTCTTATGGTGTCGAGCTTTTGCAGGCCATAGGCTTCGTATATGTCTCAAAAGCAAAGCATTATCTTGCTACGAATCAGACATTTTTGGGAGTCGGTGGTTGGTTCCACAATGTCCAAGGGAAATACCACGTATTCAGCGAAACGTAAGTACCGAGAATTGTTGACACTTTCTCAGATTGACATTAGGTAGTGTGTCAACACTGCGATCGGCAATCGAGTTGAAAAGCGTCTTTGATCAAATCGCAGCAGCGGAAAAAGCTGGAAATCTCACTCCGGAGGAGAAGAAGAAACTGGAAGAGCAGGCTGCTGAGAAAGGCATTCAGGCCCTTTTCAAGGTTCTTCATTTTCTATTCGATCCCATTGACACGTTTGACGACACTGTTAGGGAACGAAACTTGAAATCGAGTCTGTATTGCGCGAAACTTGTGATCGCGTGCTCGAGGACCCGACAATATCCCGCTCTAAAGCCCAGATGCGGGCTGTTGCGATGCAGATTCTCGGAGAGTCATACGTGGCTACGAGAAAGGACGTAGATGGACATCCAGACGAAAGTGAATACGTGAGGATAGACACAAAGAGCAGTCGAGAAAAAGACCGCCAACGTTCTTGATTCGCTCCCTCTGCATTCGTTTCGCTATACCAAACAATGCATCTTACTCATAACTTACTCACACTCACCTAATCACTCTTCTCACTTCGTGCATATCCATGTCAATCATACATTCCTTGTGTCGTACTTCTCATACTCATGGCTAATTAAAATTATCCTAGAGCTCGCCAGCAGCGCCCGGTTGAGTATCTGTGCCGACAGGTGGCGGCGGTTCACTAGATTCGGCAGGGGTTTTGGTTACCTGGGCATTCTTGCCTTTCCCCGGCGGAGGCGGATGGTACACCTTTTCCTAGCATAAACGCTCAGTATGGGTATTGAATCGAGAGAGACAACTAACCTTTTTCTTCTTAGGTTCCGGTTTCGCATTTGGATCTGGGTATGCCAATTTCTCTATTTGTTGCCACTCTGGAGACTCAGCAAAAGCCTTCCGAATCGGCGCCAATAAGCTATCAATCGCCTTGTTTACAGCTGTCTTGAGATCACCAGGGTGAACCTTTTTCGCTGCAAAATCATCCTCCAGTTCCTGATAATCCTTGTAATGACTTGGAGGGCCACCGAATTTGCCCTCTCGTCTGATGGTAAACATCGTCCCCTCCGGTGCGTCATCGTCTACAAATGGATTTTGGTCGCCAATGGCACCCTGGCCTTCTTCACTGTCCACGCCTGTCTCTCCCTTCCGACGCTCGATGCGAAGCTGACTTATCGGTATGAGAACAGCTTTAATGAACGCGAGAAGTCCATTCTCTGTGATATTTCCCTCCTCGCAGAAAGCTTTCTTGATTTTGCGCTTGACAGCTTCGGGAGGGTCAAGGAAGTCTATCTTCGAATCTGGATCCGAAGATGACATCTTACCCCCCATGAGACCTGGAACCATGGAGTTCATGAGGTGAGCACGTTTGGCATAGCCTAATCGAGGAAGATAGAGTTCTGCGAATGTGAAGATTTTACGCTGCAGCCAGGAGACGTCAATCGGTAGTCCATTATCTGATTCGCAGATGCACACACCTGATCAATCCCACCAAACTGGAAGTCAACGCCAAGGTACTGCTCATCAAGAGCCTGCAAACCAGGGTAAAGCAAACCACTGATAAGTGGACTCTCGACTTGTTTTACAACTTCGGCGCCAGCCTTCTTTGCATCATGCTCTGTCACGGTTGCGCATAATCTGTAGTTATCGAGGTTGTACTCGCGAGTGAGCTGGTAATCTGAGCCTTGAACGAATATTAATTTTGATGTGGGTATCCCTAATGAGGTGAAGACGGTGCGAAGGATAAATTCGTAGTATTTTGTCCGATGTGCGACAAGTTCTAAGGGAGCCTTTAGGTTGTCGAGGAAAGCGTGTACATCTATTGAATCTTATTCAGTAACTATTTCTTGCATGAAGTTGTTTGACGTACCAGCAAGTAAGATCTTGACCTCCACACCAGCTCTCAAGAAATCAGCGATTTTGGTCAATGGGACGAAGTAACCGATGTGTGCTAGAGAGCATCTTAGTTATCGGCTTGATTTGGCCTGCCAAGAATATTATACGTACGCCGTCCAGTCGGTGCGGTACCTAGTCAACGCATGGAGGATCAGTTTGAATATTCGATCAGAAATGAGCGGGCGTACCCCAGTAAGCCTTTGGCAGTCTGCCTTCTGCGAGAATAGCCTTGATCAAGTCACCGCCCAGAACCTCTTGCACCCTCCTCGTGATCAAGTCATACTTTGCCTCTACGTCCAACGTCGACGCCATGCCGGTGATGTCGAGGGTTTGAGTGTTAGTTCAAGTGAATGTGAGTCAATATATGACTCACAACTTGTACTGGTCAGTCACTGCCGCTTTTGCCTAATGTGGCAGCGATTCGATTCAATCCCTGCGATAACAACACTCCTTGCATGATCCCCATTCACACATAGAAAAATAGCAGAAACTATGATTGCCGGATTTCAAACTTTATTCATATGCCTGTTTATACGGGGAAATATACGTCTCTTCTACATATACAGATCCGGGTGCCACTCATCAACAACGCACGTAGCGGTTATGAGGGTTAATAACGCGGCGGAGAGAAAGGTGAAAGATTCAATGGTTAAAACGTTAACGCCTCACTCATACAATATTATATTTAAATTTTCGTCGATGTGTTGTTGCTTAGCTTGGAGCGTAGACGATAAAATTATGAATCAGAGTGAGTTGAGGGCTTGACTCGGAAGTGAACATACTAAGCCTCAGCCACTTCAAAATCTATGTTTTGAATATTTTGAATTGATAGTGTAGATAAATCGAGAACCTAGAAGATCGCGTCGCATTTTTTTTGCAGATCGTGGTAAATCATGATGAAAGCTGATAGTAAATGAGAAGACTTGAAGCTCGCGGTGGATCGAGAATTCGGACCAAAGTTAACGGGCACGTGATCATGGCGCGTTCAAGTCGCAAATTATGTAACTGACGCTTAACTTCGACCTTTCTCCCACTCCCCCGTAGGACTGCCCGCTATACATCCTACCCACATATATCGGTACAAAATAATCTTTCACAATTCAGCATTATGCTTACAGTCATTTCTGCATTTCAAACCAAACGCGCGGGACGCCTCTTTGTGCACACGGTCACCCTCTCAACATCCTTTGAGCGCTTCCTGCCGCGCTGGTTCAAAGGCTCGCTCGCTCTTTTCAAAACGCCCTTGAATGCAACGCTATTCATTGTGATCGTTTTTATCCAGCTCGCCCTCAACGCATACAGGTACTTCAAGAAACATAACTGTCAAATGGCCAAAGACAAGAATACAAACAGGAGCTCACATACTCAGACTGGCTCGGAGAGGTTGGAAGCCGATGTATCAATCAACGAGGGAAACAGAGAAAATTATTTTGGTGATGGAACCTTTCGGAACATCTCCTCAGTAAGCACCATATCCTGTTCTTCTGGGACCTCAGATCTGACAGCATCCGTCACAGTCACAGTCCCTGGAGTTGCAACTGGTAATATATTTCTCCATACCTCGGGCGATCTAATCATCTGATAAGACGTAGTCTGCTGTATCATTGGCGTCATGTATAGCCCCTCTGACTCGTGAAGACTCAAACATACACCTCGATTCCGCGACAAGCACTACTCGCACGCGTCATATCCGTCGATTAGTGTCCCGCATCAAGCTGTACACCGCCAGCGATGAGGCAGTCCACTTTCACGACAAGGAGATCCGAAAAATCAACTCGGAGTATCGTATGAGTGAAACACAGGAAGAAGAAGCTCTGGTTCAAGACTCAAACCGGAGACGGATCCTACGGGTTTCAAACCAGCCGCTGGTTCGGCAGGTGACACGCGCCATGTCTTCGGTTTTCTGCACCCCACTACGTCTTCCGAAAAATACTGCGACTGTCACGGTGGCCTGTTACACCCCTGAGTCTGTCGAACGACCTATCAGTGATGTAGTCACATTCACGTATCCACCATATCCAATCAGCAAGGTGACCAACTCGAATGAAAGGAAGTGGCCATGGCAGACGCGGGGGTTGTGTATAAAAGCCTAGGCAGTCAACTCATTGAGATCTCTCTGTAATTATCGTAGAGGCTTCGTTTGAATCCATCACTTCGAGTCTTTGTGCTCAAAATGGTCCGTGGTTGGGCCTAATAAGCACCGGACATTGTAGGGGCGTGCACTTCGAGTTTTCAAGGTGGTCTGTGCTTAGGCCACAGGCCCAAGGAAACTACATAGTATAAAGACAGTACAGCATGATGAGGTCACGTGACCGGTACCTACATATAAACACGCCAATCAACAAAGAAGTCGCGTTATTCACCCTCTTACCACTACCACCACCAAGTGCGATCATCTTCTATTCATCTAACACACCACGCACACATACCATAAACTATAATGTCTGGACGCGGCAAAGGTGGAAAGGGTCTCGGAAAGTAAGTATCAACGATATTTCTTTGCGAGTGATATCTAACTGAGCTTGTGTAGGGGCGGTGCCAAGCGTCACCGCAAGATTTTGCGTGACAACATCCAGGGTATTACCAAGCCTGTATGTCCTTGCTGTGATGCACAGCCAACACTTGTCTGATATTCCGCAGGCTATTCGTCGTCTTGCCCGCCGTGGAGGTGTGAAACGTATCTCGGGCCTCATCTATGAAGAGACTCGTGGTGTTTTGAAGATCTTCCTTGAGAACGTGAGTCACCCCGACTACTGGCTGCGGAGCCGTCAGCTGACTCCTTGTAGGTTATTCGTGACTCGGTTACATACACTGAGCACGCCAAAAGGTAAGGATCTAACTGCTGTGGCCAGTGTTAGTTCTCACGCTGACGGTTGGCTATTTGTCAGGAAAACCGTGACGGCGCTTGATGTTGTGTATGCTCTTAAGCGCTCCGGTCGCACGCTCTACGGCTTTGGGGCATAAGCCTTTTATATTTATTCTTACTTGTGCAGTTTCGATTTGTTGAGCAGGAGTTACCAGCTGGTGGTGATCAACGATAGCGCTCGTTTCTGGTGTAGGATTTGCGTGATATGTTACTGCAGCTCAATGTTACTCGCTAGGTCTACAATATGATGTACACTATTCTTGTCACAGAAGCACTCATGCCATGTATTAGACAGTGACCAGAAGTATGCAAACTAACTGGTGAAGTGTACTGTTGACTGCGAGTCGCCTGCATCTACATATTGTAAGGACGGAGCGATTTGCAATATGGTGTCGACGCCATGTGCGCGCTCCACTTGAGCCCCTTTGAGGCTCCACTGTGACCATCATTCGAGTGCTCCTGCACTCCAGTGTCGACGTTCGATGCCCATAGAACTCATCGATATCCGTCATGTCTCCGGCATCAACGATGCTGCTGAGTCCTGACTTACTTTCAAACGGCTTAGTGCGAAATGTGCGGGCGTGAGTCTTAATGGTGGGTACTGTTGGCTGCGAGTCGCCTGCATAGTTTATTAGTTTAGATGTGAGTTAGTAAAAGTGTCAGTTCGATTATGGAGCTTGTCTTGCAATGAGAAACTGTAGTTCGAGGAACACAAGGGACTTTGTGTGGGAGTAAAGGAATTTGCAAGTAGTGAATCGAGTGCAAGAGATATTGATATTCGGCCCCATGGACTGAACAGAGTTGCGGTACTTGTACAGTATACAAATACGTGCCCATGTACCTGACTTGTGATAAAGGACCGATAGAGCGTAATAATGTTAGTGTCGAAAGCGGGTTTGCCTGCCCAAGGATACCGATTAAGTCCTACCCAGCCAACCGCGACACAGCCAGTAACCTTCTGCAGAGTCAGCCCGGCTTGACTCCGGTTTGATATAATGTACGAGGTGGAAGTTAGGTTCTAGATGTTCCTTTCTGAACTCTTGCAGTAATGGATGAGCAAAATGCTTCAACCTAGAATAAATATGTCAGATACGAGCGGCTCGTCTTCCGGACAACGAAGGACATACAGCAGTATCCCGCCGCAGGACGCCTTCCCTCGTTCATCTACTGTCCTAACAGTCAATGCACCTTTTGCAAAATCGAAGACCGCATGACAGATGTCCAAACTCATTTGTGAGTCTCGTATTTTACTTCCCGAAAAATTCGCAGCCATATCACTCAACACGATATCCGCTGTACCCTCAGGATTTCGTGGACTCTTCAGCGCATCCCGTACGATACGCGCCGAACCCGGAGCTAGAAAGTCCATCTGCAGCGTCTGCACGCCTGGTATTGGCATAATCGGTAGCAGATCTAGTGCAACAATTTTTCCTCGCCTGGTAGTCTTGTTCATAGGTTCGGTGCTCCAGGAACCGCGTTTCTGCACCTTCGTTTCTTCGCGTAACCCGAAGTCTTCTGCGTTGTCTGCCGCTTCATGAGTCCACCCAAAGTTTTCCGCGACAACCTGGCTCCAGCCGCCTGGAGCTGCACCAAGGTCCACGACACTGCGCAGGCTAGGACGTGAGAGGAAGCACCCCCACTTGTTATTGAGCTCGATGAGCTTGTAGGCAGCGCGTGAACGATAGGATGATGGTGAGGAGAGGCGCGCTTTGACAAAAGGGTCACGGGATTGTCGTGCTAGCCATGCTGTGCTCGACTTCTTGTGCAAAGGAAGCGTCGGGCGGAACGACATCAGAAATCCAAAAATGAAAGATCCGCAAAAAATCCGTTTGTACACGATCGAGAAGTGGTTGTTTGTCAAAACCCTTAGAACCAAACATCAATGCATCACGGCTCTGGCACAAAATGTACTTCTGCATACTTTTTGAAGTGGCTGCGATTCCTCTGATTTTTAAATGCTGCAAAGTGCATGTGCAAAGTGCATCAATGTCGTGCCTAGTCACCATCAATTGATATAACAGGTACCGTGGATTCCATCTCTCTTCCTCCCACACAACCTGTGTCCAATCTGCTAACTCTCTCAACGATTATTGCGATGTCTCGACAATATGCTCCATACGGCCTTTGGGAGTCCCCCATCACAGCTGATGCTATCGCTGAGGATGTATGTTTCACAAATCGTTTCAGATCGCTTGGTAGTATCTGAAACTGATTTGCACCGTAGAGCGTCTCTATGAGCGACATATTTGTAGACCCAGTCACGAAAGATATCTACTACATTGAACAGCGTGCATCAGAAGGTGGTCGATACGTGCTTCTGAGTAACCAGACTCAAAATGAAGTCTTCGCCAAGGACTTCAATGCACGCACGCGCGTTCACGAGTATGGTGGAGCTGCTGCGATCGCTTATAACGGGACTGTCTACTCTTCAAATTTTGCGGACTTCCTTGTCTATGCCGCTAAAGATGGGAAGATTAAACCAATCACACCAGGTGCTTATGTTGATATTCCGGACTACAACGCCGTACTAACGTTCCGTGCAGAGGATCCGAAGAAGATCTATCGCTACGCAGATTTATCTGTACACCCAGTCCACACTGACCTACTTGTCGCAGTCTTAGAAGACCATACACACGACACACCGCAAACTGTGCGCAACTCTCTTTGCGTCATCAACTCCGCAGCTACGACTGTCACGCCCTTGGTTTGCACTGAGAATGCACAAAGAGAATTTTATGCAGCGCCGACCTTCTCCCCTTCTGGCGATAAAATCACATGGCAATTCTGGGAGCACCCAGACATGCCTTGGGAGGGAGGACAGCTCTACGTGGCTGACGTCCACTACAACCCCAATACCCATACACTTAGCTTAAGCAACACGAAACTAGTAGCTGGTAGCGCTAGTACAATCAGCGCGTGTTACCCCTTGTGGGCTTCCAACGACAAGCTTCTCTTCACATCTGACGAAGGCAAGGAGGGAGACAGGTTCGCAAACCTGTGGGAATACACTCAGGCGCGCACAAAACCAGTCCTCTCGTCTGTTGTGCAGCAAGACTTCTGCATGCCACCTTGGACGCTTGGAAATTACCCATTCGCGTTCCTGGACGATAATGGCACAAAAGCCATTTGTGTTGCATGGCGAGGTGGCCGAAGCGTCCTCTATGTTGTTGATATCACCACAGGATCCTACAAGGAGATCAAAGACGAGTCCTTCGACTTTGTAGTTGTCGAACATGTCCGGCGCGTGTCGGAATATACTTTTGTCTTCACAGGACTGCAAAGCAACGCCCCTGGCGCAGCCATGCTCTGTACTCTTACTGGACCATCATTCGTGCCCGATTTTCAGGTACTCAGATCTACCGCATCGACGTCCGCTGCACCGTTCCCTGAGGGTATCATTTCGCTTCCAATCCCTCTTGAACTTAAACTGGCGGGTGACAATATTGTGTATGCCGTATATTATGCTCCAAACAACCCGGCGTATGCGGGTTCAAACATTCCAAATGAAAAGCCTCCCTGTGTTCTTGGCGTACACGGCGGACCCACAGGATTAGAAACCCAGAATTTGAACTGGTTGAAGCAGTATTTCACAAGCAGAGGATATGCTTGGTAGGTCCCGGCGCACTCTGTAGGATCATCATGCTCATCAATTGCAGGTTGGATATAAACTACGGTGGTTCTTCGTGCTACGGACGAACATATGTGTATGTAAATGTTTATCATCATCTTTTACATGGAGCAGCACTGACGATGTGACTAGGGAGCGCCTTAAAGGGAACTGGGGTATCACCGATGTAAGCGACTGCATCGAAGCAGTCCAATCGCCCGAACTACGTTCCCTCATCGACACCAAGCGCACTGCGATCCGCGGCGGGAGCTCAGGTGGATATACTGTCCTTGCCTCCATTTCCCTCGCCTCCTCTGCGGCAAGTAAACCCAAGTTTTTCGCGAGTGCCACAAGCAACTTCGGAATCTCAAACCTGGAGCTACTTGCAGACGATACACACAAGTTCGAACTTATGTACATGATAAAGCTTCTCGGTGGTACGAAGGAAGAGATACCACATGTCTATCATGACCGTAGTCCAGTGTATTTTTCCGCGAGAATTGAGACACCGTTACTCGTAAGTTTTTGTGCTGATGAAAGTGCGTTCTGATAGGTAGATCATGTTTCCGACAGGTCCTTCAAGGTAATGATGATGAAGTTGTTCCGCCCGCACAATCGTGGACTATAATTGATGGGGTCATTAAAAACAAGGGGCATGTTGAGGCGTACTTCTTCGATGGTGAACAGCATGGGTGGCGCACCTCGGAGACGATCAAGAAGGCGATTGAGTTTGAGAGGGAATGGTACGAGAAGAGCATGGTGAGGGCCTCTGTTAGTAAGTGAGAATGAAATAGCAGCAGTGTGTTATGACAACTCGGATGTATGAATAGTATGAACGAAGGGAATGAAACAGATTTGTGCGCGATACATGTTCTTTTCAACGGGGCTCACTGATGACTGGTACTAGTACTATATGATGCGCATTGTGAAGATGTAGTTTTGATCTTGGAGAAGATCGTAATTCCGCGCCTACTAGTGCAGGCGTTTGTTTGGCAAAACCATTGGATCCAAACAAACCAAGCTTTTGGGTCCAGAATGACAACTAAGTGGGACATCATCATGGTTGTCTTACTTTTTGCTGGGTATTGTCAAGTGGACTCCTCCGGTCCTGACGAGGTGTCTATCAGAAGATATTTTTCATGTCACGGTCGACCTTAGTGCCGTTGAACCAACCCTGCTTCCTACTGAGCCTCCACTGGTAGCTCAAACTTCAGGCTTGTAGCAAGTACGGGACCCTATCGGGTCGCCAATCTGTCGTGGTACCGTTACTACAAGGCAAACAAAGGGCTTAGATACGGCTCCACCATTCCTATAGCTTTCTGGCTCTTTCTTCCGGGGCCGGCACGATACACTCCTTGACTCGGAGCTTTTGTTCACGGAGACGAAAAGTAAGTAAGTATTTGTTACTTAAAGGTCGACTGACACATGTCTCTCCATCCAAGGCGATTCCGAAAGAATTGTGCGATCTTTAAAACATGCTGGCAACAATTCTGACAATGACCCGCCGGTGTAAGATGACGGCGATTGGCAGTATCACTTAGCTCCAGACTAGAAAACACAAGAAACGACGTGACAGTGGGAAGTATTGAAGGATATATTCGCCCAGGAAGAGGAGAAAGACAATATTGTGGGATAGTGGTCGATATTTCCGTCGAGGTGTGTACTCATTTGATCGTATTGTCTTACCGGCCGCGCGACTGTAGCAACTTCTCCACTTATGGTTGCAGGCGCTTGCAGTCAACAAATGCTTGCGCACAACGTGGTGTCACCGAGATGTCTCACCTAGTTTCTAGCACTGGCCAGCCCAAGATGATTCAACCCTCAAGCTGGTGATTAGTATGCTGTGCAATCACCAACTGCACGAAATTAGACAGTCCCATGTACGCACCTACGGCACGCTTGTGATGGTGACCTTCGTTTGAATTCAAGCACCCTCGTTTTATACTTGCATTGCGAATCTGTACTCATATGGGGAAGCTACTACAACACAGATGCCCCTCCAACAGGATCTTCAAGTACTTTTCCGCAGACAGTAACTTCCTTCGCGACCAAGAGCAATGGTTCAACGATATCTATATCAACTTTGCTTGGCGGTGTGGCCATCTTCAAGTCTACTGTCGGCTCAGAGCAAGTTGCCACCGCCAAAGCCGCCATAATGCATTCGATTTCTAGTGATCTCAGTTCTTCCACCACCACAGTCAATTTTTGTAGCATTGGGAGATGAAACCCATCAAGTATGTCGATGAATTCCTGTCGATCCGATGTGAGGGGAAGAGTCATTGATTTGAGGCGAGATTGTGCAACAGTGTCAATTCTATCACCAGAACCTAGGGAATAATCATCCACTATCATGGTCTCCAGATGAGGAAAAATCACCGAAGTGAAGCGTATAGCATTGACGGAAGTGTGTTGAAGGCGGAGATGACGTATATCTTTACAGATAGGAGCAGGTTTGGCAGGAAAATCACTTCGATTGAAGATGTGTAGGCAATGGAGATTTGGTGCGTTAAATCTCCTGAACTCTCGTAGAAAACATTTTAATGTTCTCAACCGAGGTGTATCGATGTTACCACTCCAGTCATAAATGGCAGGTGACATGATAGCCACCGTCTCCCATCGCCCCCTTACAGAAAGCAATATTTCAAGCAGTCGACGATCCGCCTCTGATTGGTATGGGCGGAGCCATGGCAAGCATCTGGCTTCCGGATCGCGTGAGTAGCAGAGCTGCTCGGACACGATACTAAGGCTGAGGGGGCGACGTCCTGAGCGGGCGAGCCAAACCTCTAGTAGAGATGGAAGGAACGGTTTCAATGGTTGAATTCGGCCGGGAAGTGCAACATGGATGCGCGACCAGATTGCTGTCGTCGAATGTGCAATATCTCGCCAAAGGCGACACACGTGAGTGAGGAGTAGGGGAGGACTGGCAACATCGGCTGAGATGCATGTGTCTCCAAATGAGAATATACTGGGGTTTCCTTGAATATCGTTTAATATGAGCAAGAATTCTTGCTGTAGGAGTTCTACTGGCAGGCGATTGATAGGAGGAGTTGAATAGTTCATTCTTGTGACTTCCGCCGGATTTTTGTTTGCTGCAAAGAGAGAAATTAATATAGGAGTACTTACTCTCGGTCGACCCACTACTAAGCAAATAAACCCAAATACAATTGTAGCTTGACGGATGCATATGCAGTACTTCATTCTGCCCTGCTACGGTCGGTCTCCCTCTGAAATACCTTTTCTATCTGGAGTATACAGCCCATCTAAACAGGTATTATGCAGATAAAGCAAGCAAGAAAGACACGAAACAAAAGTATGCAAGGACTCTACCCGTAGGGATAGGAGCCTCGGCTACGTCAGACTAGTCTCGTGACCAGTCCGTCTAACGTAAGACCCGGCCGGATGTTCCAAACAAACCTAAACACCCCATATTTTAAGTTCACTTGGAGTTGGCTCTCTCAAACTACTAGTTGCTTATCAGCTGGTGGGTCATACTGCAAAGATCACACTAAAAGCTGACGACCAACACAGGACTCTTTTACTTACCACGACAGGCCAGCATATTCACCGTATCTTAGGGCGCCCTTCTTGTTCGCAGACACCACGATGATTCCGCGAATCTCCAAGCGATATGCTAGCACTGCCAAACCCAAACCTCGCCAGGGTACAAAGGGTGTATATGGCGTAACACCAGAGCATCAACCCACATCGCCAGAGGAGCAGGCACACATCATAAAGCGTCGCATCGAGAAGGTCGAAAGAGATGAGCCTATGGACATAACCATGGCATTGACTCCAGTCGAGACGTGAGTATCTTTGTTATGTTGTTCCTCAGTCTGTAAGTCCATGGATACGACGCCTTACCATGCCAATGGAGGCTCGCTTGCTGGTTTGGCTCCATGATGTCATTAACGTTATTCTTGGAACCGTTATCGTCCGTGTAACCTTGAGTCTCCATTTGTCCTCGCTTGCTCGTATATCTTCTCATCATGCTCATATTTTTGTCTCGGTCCTAATTATTCTGCTCTTCACTAGGTACATGGGAGGTTTTACCCGCCCCCGTGACTTACGTGCTCTGTATTGGTCAAAGGATGGTCCGTACCATGAACAGAAGGGACCATATGAAACACCCTCTCCTGCAGCTTACGTCCCTCGCACCGTTTGGCAACAAATCCGAGCCTTCCACTCATCAGCCCGTCGTCACTATCCCTCTGAGTCTTACAACGAAGAACACATCGTCCCCAACTTTTACATCAAGCACAAAAAAGATCGCAAGCACCAGGTGGATAAGCTGATGAAATCATCTGTCACACCGTCAACCACTTCTCCATCCGCCACGGATACCGCTGGTCTTGATGTTGCAGCTGCTGAAGAAGCTATTCACGATCCGACCCGACAAACCAAAGCCGTGAAGAGACGCAAGCATGAGGAGTCTGCACTCATGGAACACCTCTCAGACTCTATTCTTGGCGACGACCTTGTGGCCAGCACACGCCGCCTTGTCAGCAAGATCCCTGTCGAGCACTACGACAATGATGGCTTTCTTGTGCACCCGAGCGGGTTTGTCGTTCCTGGAAAGGGCCACACCAGCACTAGTGATGCTGCACGTGCCAAAGAGCACGCGAGAGATGAGGATGAAGAACGCGCTGCACAGACAGCCTCAGTAGCTGAACGCGTCCTCGAATCCGACTTCGATCATGTGCATTCTGCCATGGCGAGTACGCGCCCGCGTTCTCATAAGGTTCCCTTCGAAATCAGGGAGCCTGACGGCACGGTGAAACACCCGAGCGGCTTCGTTCCTCCAACTCCCGCCGACGAGTTCAAGTATTCTGACAGTGCCAGTCTTGAGCGGGGCCTTGCGGGTGCTATTAGCAGACAACGCGCCCGTGATGTGGACAATAAGAACCCCACAATCATAAAGGGCCGTCGCCTGCACACCACAGCCGTTGTGCGTGCAAGCGAGGTGGCGATTCCAACCCATCTCATGCAGCCTGTGCCTGCTCCTGAGATTGACTCTCAGGCCTCATTAGGGCTCTCCGAAAGCGAGCCAGACCATGTTGGCGCTATTCGCGCCAAATACCTCCCAATTCTTGCACAAGAGTCTTTTTTTCGACCCCTCTTGACGTTGGCAGTTTCTACCAGACCCCTTGCGAACAGTCTGGTGCGCCTTTCGCGTGCCCTTCCTCGCGGCCTTCCTTTCTATGCTTCCGTCGTGCCTGAGGACCACAAGTTTTCTAGGCGTATTTGCGACGAGACGGGCGAGGAACTTACGTACCCGTCGAAGTCTGCACAAGCACACGTGGTAGAGCAAGACAGTTCTGATGCGCTTGTGGAAATGAGGGGAGCTGGAGAAGTGTAAGGTGGAGAGGAGGCTCGTGATTGTTACGAGATTGTTGGCGAAGGTCGTGCTGGGAACGGAATGGGTTGTGTTGCTCTACAGACGGTTGGTCATAGAGATTGTATTTGTATCATACCCATCATCACACTTGTGTTCTTACAGTACCATTCAAATCTTGTTTACATTCGCATACATTCGCTGTAAATGATATTCGCTGCCAGTAGACGATGATATTCTAAAGTGTGGTTGTTATTTTAGTCATTTGTCCTGAACTAATATCAGTAAGTCAAACAACTGGATACTGGGTCAGTAGGTAACCGAGTGCAGTCTCATGTTTAAGTACGTAAGCACATCGTGTGTAGTGACCAGAAAGTCAGGGTATTGAGAAGTCTGTAAGGTCTGCTCAGACTTCGCACCCACTGGCCAGCAGGTCTAGATCTGTGTCAAGTCTTTGTCCGAGTTATCCGGGAGTAACCGGAGGAGGTCTCTCAGCCGCCAAAGGTCTGCCCGCCGTCTTACATATAGACTCGTAACCAGTCTGACTATGCGTCAATTTGAGATGGTGAGAATTTATTGACGTAGTCAGACTGGTCGAACTCGGAGTGATTTGGCAGGCGAAGCGAGGAGTTTGAAATTTGACAGATGCCGGTATGCCGCTTTGGGTAACATTACCGCAAACTCTTTCGTTTGTACCGTGAAAAGTACAGTATCCTCTCAAATACGTTAACAGTACATCGCGCTGGAGCACTACATAATAATTGATTAGGATAAACTGCTCAAACTTTCCAGAGCTTGTCGCAGCTCGAAGTACAACGTGTCTCGCAGAAAGTAATGATATGAGGCATCTGAGCTGGAACAATTTCGCGAATCGGACGTTGTGATCCTTGCCAGTGGGAAAGAATATCGAGTCGCGAGAAAGCCTCGAGAACTTGCTGGTGTTGTGTTGTTGAGAGGGCCCTCGTAAATTGAAACTTAACATAGCATACAGTCTGAGCGAGAGCAGACGCATAACTTGTGCTATATGATCGTAACTACCTCCGGCATGACTGGCACCTATCAAATTTCAAACTCCTCGCTCCGCCCTGCCACGCCACTCCGAGATCGACCAGCCTGGCTACACCACTTGTGCAACCATGGTAGTATTAGGCCAGGCTGGTCACGAGCCTATCTTACATAACCATCGATCATCTTATCTCGCCACCCTCTCTTGTTTGCCTGCCACCTCCCTCGTTGCGCGCCACCTCTCTTGTCATGCGCCGTCTCTCTCATTTGTGCACCACCTTTCTCATTGCCTGCAGTCCCTCCTGCCACACTCTCTCGTTTCCCCGCTGCCTCCCTCGTTGCCCGCCACCTATACTTTTAAGACGGCGGGCAGACAGACCTTTGGCGGCTGACAGACCTCCCCTAGTAACTCCCGGGTAACACTGACAAAGACTTGACACAGACCTAGAGACAGACCTGGACGCAGAGTCTGCAGACTTCACACAGACTTCCCATTTCCTGGATGTCCTCGTAGTGCCCTGTTACCACTCCTGGACTCCGCCACCATTCAGCTGCCAAGCCGTGGCGAAAACAAGGTACCAGCAGTGTAATGTAAAAAGACCTCAGAAACAGTAAGTAGTACCTCTGGAAAATACTCAACTCAGATATCCTCCAAGTAGCTTTACGTTCTTCGAATAAAACTATGTACATATTGATTTTATTGCCAGAAAATTGCCCGAAGCGGTCACTACCGCTCAAAATGTCCAAATTTGGTGGTTTTAAAATATTAACATTTTCTGGCCAGCCCAAGCCTTACTCTGCTCCTCCCTGTGCAGTAAGGTTTGCACAATAAATAATAGCTCAACAGGACATACTGAACTGATACATATATCAGAGGGAGTGCAGCTACAATGTTCTGTACCTCATTTACAAGAAAAAGAGCGAAAATATCAACAGATTTATTATGTACGGTCCATGCGGTGAGCGAGATCTTCACTGAGTTTTTGCTTGTACCTTGCTGTGGAAGCCAAACAATTTCCGAGTGATAACAGGTCACTCATCAAGATTTGAGACTTGAGAATTCTTGTGGCGTTAGAGCCCTTGCATGCTAACAGATGCATCACCGCATGAATGCTTCCCAGCTTAACGGTTCCCTTTTGTCCAAAACTGACACCGAAGCTCACACTTGTTACTCGGCAACCCTGCTTCATTCCTGACTTTGATGAGGCAATTCTTCCTATTCTGAAACAGTTCACATGCGGATCTCAAAGTAGATAAGGTGTGTGTTAGCAAAGTCAGCCATCACTCACTAGCCAAGTATATTTTCCATTCATAAGGAATAGCTTGATACTTGTTATCCGACTCTGTCGGACCTTCTTTGCGCCATTGATAGGCTCTGTGCCTGCATAATCACCTGCTCTGCACTGGCTCATTAGTAACACTACCATCATGGCAAAGGAATAAGAGCAACACTCAAATACATCGCGCGCATGAAAAGATTGGAACAGGTCTTCGGAGACGTAACCCCCCCAAAGGAGAAGGAGTGAGGAGGAAGAAGACGAGAAGGGAAGAAGAGAACGAGAAGAGGAAATGCACCCAAGATGTAATACACCATACCAACGCCTTAAGACGGCGTCCACATCCCTGCGCAAGCACGGACCATTGCAAAGAGTCGACAAACAAAAGCACCAAACACATAATTCAAATAGTACCATAGCATATGTAGTGTCCACCATAGGGCCCTGCCCCACAGGACAATAAACGAGGATCCAAAAAAAAAAATACTACCATCTTTCTGGACAAATCCCAATTCAGAAGTCCCCTTCTGGCCTGCGTTTCCAAGTTCATCTGTCTAAGGAACTTGGCTTTGATAAACAGTGGCTGGGAGCGATCCCATAGGAAACTCGCTTCGATGGCCGGCTCTTGATCCCATGGCCGACTGTATCTAGGCTACTGTCGAACTCGATCCTCTGCTGCCGCACTTCATGCCTTGCAAATCCTGCATATGAAAATCAGTAGCACACCTACACCTTGCTCTCGTCGGACTTCAGGATGCTCGTAGTACTCGTCATGGCCACTGTCTGTTACTGTTCTTGCAGGCTGTGTTGCAAATGAGCTACTGGGATAGAGACACTTCCCGGACGTTCTCGAGACTGGGTACCAGGATATTATATCGAGCTATAGAATACACGTGTAGAGTACCGAGCATTTGTCATGTGTAGTACTACCTGATATAATCTTGCTAATCAAGTATTCAGTCCATGTTATGGGCGAGGACATCGCACTGACTCGCACTACAAGATCATAATAGTCCACGAAAATAAACCGATGAGGTTGTCGTGGAGTTAGCGCACAGCACCTTTTCCTTGAACAAGTGCCACTCGCGAGTCGCCAATAATGCATGCAGCAGTCATGAGAGTTAATGCGGTGGAGAGAAACATCAAAGATCCAATGGTTGAAACATTAATGCCTTACATTCATACTATAGCATATTTAAATTTTCGTCAATGGTTGGCTTGGAGCGCAGACGATTAAATCATAAATCAGACTGTTCTACATAGTACACACGACCGCGAAGCCCGTCAATCTGGCGTCGAAGTTTTATATCATGCATAGATGAGGACTGAAATTTCTAAGACGCAAGTCAATGCAGTCAGAATTGCGTGATGCAAGAAGTGAACTCGATCCCACCTAGAGAAATTGATGTGCAAGGCTCTACAAGGGCCTTTGGGGAAGTAGCTTGATGAATCGGTCTTGCTTCACAGTCTGCCCATCCTTCCCAAAGTAGCGAGCAGAATCAAAGTACCAGTGCAGTGAACCGACCATCAGGTCCTGTAATCCTTGAATGTAGATAGCTACCTGCTTATCGACCTCTTCTCCCCATGAGGGCAGGGTAGCATGGCTGTCTTCAAAGCGCTGGATGACACTCTTACACAGCTTACCAGAGTAGTCGGCAGCGCCTTGCAAGTCTAGGCCTCGCTCGTGCATGAGGACAGCAATTAGATTGGAATATGTGTCACAGTCCGATTGCTCTTTATTGTAAGAGCAAATATCCTGTCAGTGGTGATGTTAGCGGTATCACAGCATTTGACGACAGAATGTGGCATTACATTGGACCAACTAATAAAATCATTGGTGGCGTCCTCCATCGCCATGATCATTGGGTGCGATACTACTTCGTCTGGGAGATCCATTCGAGCTGCATATTTGATGAAGACAAAGAAAGATTTACAGCCAGACAAGTCCCACCTCAGGGTGGTGTAGGATTCAAGGTTGTGGTTATGTCCCTTTGCATGATTGTCTGCTTCCTTAGATGCAGCAATGAAGAACAAGTCAAATGTGTGGATAAACTGCTTGGTGCAGCCGGGGCTGGCAGTCTCTATAAAGCGACTGAAAATCCTAGAAGGATATATAAAGACTGTCAGAAAGTATGTGTGATTGAAAAAAAAAAGTGTACGATTTGCATATCTTTCCAGCAGGATTGTCCATCTGGAAGTTAATGGGATCGCGTAATGCAGAAATACAACATTCACGCATTGCCCAGGCTATACTGTTAAAATTAAGCATAATACTCACTGACTAGAAATGGTATGGTTTTGTAAGTTTGTTTGTAAACTATCAATCCCCTACAATTAAGCTTAACGGCTTCTGATTCCTTTGGTGATTCTCAGGCTTCCAAGAATAGCACTACCATCGGAAAAATCACCAAATTAGGATATTCCAATAATCTCACTATTCCCACATACCTCCCTGGCTCTACTGCTGCACCAGAGCTTTCCCCTTGCTCACTCATGTATATAAGTAGTAGAATAGCATGTACATACATAAAATGATACAATAGACCGCTTTTTTCATTGTCTGAGAGCTTATACAGCAGTCTACAGTGCTGACTACAATATGTGCATCCCAGGACTAAAACATATTCGCTTTTTTGCCCCTTTAGCAGGGAAGCAATTCTGGCTGTATATATCATATATTAGAGTGTTAATGAATATATTACACCGCTTGTTTGAGCCTCTGTAGTGTCCTACATCAGTAGATATGTTAAATTCATGAATACCTCTCAAAAAACATAAACCAGTTTGCATTTTTTTAGTGTTTAGGTATATAGACTGGTGAATATTATTTCTAACATCTCTTTACTAGTATATACATTATATCAAGAGTATAGGTCAGTAGGATCAGTCCCTAGGGTGATATGTATTGTCATCTTCCTGGTGGTTCACTCCCATAGAAAAATGGGAGTGAACCACCAGGAAGATGACAATACATATCACCCTAGGGACTGATCCTACTGACCTATACTCTTGATATAATGTATATACTAGTAAAGAGATGTTAGAAATAATATTCACCAGTCTATATACCTAAACACTAAAAAAATGCAAACTGGTTTATGTTTTTTGAGAGGTATTCATGAATTTAACATATCTACTGATGTAGGACACTACAGAGGCTCAAACAAGCGGTGTAATATATTCATTAACACTCTAATATATGATATATACAGCCAGAATTGCTTCCCTGCTAAAGGGGCAAAAAAGCGAATATGTTTTAGTCCTGGGATGCACATATTGTAGTCAGCACTGTAGACTGCTGTATAAGCTCTCAGACAATGAAAAAAGCGGTCTATTGTATCATTTTATGTATGTACATGCTATTCTACTACTTATATACATGAGTGAGCAAGGGGAAAGCTCTGGTGCAGCAGTAGAGCCAGGGAGGTATGTGGGAATAGTGAGATTATTGGAATATCCTAATTTGGTGATTTTTCCGATGGTAGTGCTATTCTTGGAAGCCTGAGAAAAATATTTCCAGTAGCATCAAGATCACAAGAGAGATCCCAATCTTTAGAACCAGTGAGGCATTGTGCCTGTTAAGCTTTGTGAAGCTTCATGTTGGTGGCTCCGAGACAAACTTACAAAATGTACTGTGTATAGTTAGACACGGTTAAGTATCACCCTGCCATGAACAGGTGCATTGCCCTCGCATCATCAACACCATGGCCATCGAGGTAGTCATCTAACTTGAATGCCCAGTATAGGAAGTCTAAGGGGATTCTGAGATGGGAAGCATCTGCATTGGGGTAGGAATATGCAATTAAGTCAGATGCGCGGATGGCCCTCAATTTGGCAATTTCGGGCTCTGAAACATGCGCCTCGTTGAAAAGCCATTGTTCAGAAGCGCGAGAGACACGATGAGAGCGAGGATTCATGCGCAGGGGATAGCAGCAATCGTTGAAGAGGTCGGGTAAAAAAAACCCCGCAGGCTCAAAGCCGGAAGAAGTGATGGTGGAGGTTGCAATAGGAACCATGGAGGTTGTCGGGATTATATATGGTGAATGACGGAGCAAGCCAATAGAACAATGAGATATGCAAGCTAGGATTGAGTTGGGAGATTGTTGAGTTGCTCTGAAACATGCCCGCCTTATATGGTAAAATTTGGATGTGTCAAATACTATTCAGCCACAAAATGTCTGGTGCATCTATAGCTAGGCATCAAGATGTCAGGCTGAAATTCACCCACATCATGACATTGAGGACTCGGTCACTGAGTCTGACCGACAAGGTTAAACTCCCATTTGTGGATGATAAATTTAGTCCTGAGTAGTCCCGATGATCTATCTAGATTCGTCAACCATCACGCCAAGTTCCTGGACCAAGCACAATACTCACCCACAACGGGAGATCACAACCTGTACTGGAAAGTTAGATCATCATGTTCCGGTGAGCGGGGCCTGTACCACGGCGGCCGGAGAACCTGTAAGAAGAAGGTTTACTGATTGACACACCTTCTCGAGGACAAGCAACCACATCTGAACTCACAAAGGACATGGAAAGATCAGTGAACCAGTGAGCCACCGGTATTGTAGGCCGAAATGTTCTTGTTTACTGCCATGGCTTGGCAGCAGAATGGTGGCAGAATGGTAACAGGCTACTGCACACTCCGTGGTTACATTGCTTTACAACGTCATGTATAGGAAAGAGCATTTCGGCCCGTAAAACATGGGAACATGCTCACAGGTGTACTGATCGGCTCTGCTCCGAGTAGAATAGATATCAAACTTAGATAAGGTAGGCACGACCATAGTTGAATCTTATGTTGTGAACTCTCTCCGGGGCCTGGCTAGATCCTCTACCCGTATTACTGATAGAAGTTCATACATCTCGTCGATATCCGCAACTTCTGTGCTAGCTCACTCTAGGAAAGTCTTCATTCTGCTTAGTGACCCGGTACAACCAGAGGCCGGTTCTTTATGGTCACAAACCATTCCATTGCACATTCTGGATGTGGACAGAGCAGTTTCGAAAAACCAGAAGTGGAACCGGAGGACCGGTAACTTGGCTCATTTGCTGTTGAAGCCAGCCGTCAGGGGGAAGTTGATCACATCCAACCAAGGCAGAAGACGACTCTCCAGATGGTGGCGATCACTACCCTCTTGTTCAATTATTTCTCGAAATCATGAAGAATATACTCATGCTTAGTCTCTTGGAACTGTCCCTCCATTTCTCCCCGCGGTACCATGGCAGAGCGCACCCTTTGGTACAGCAGGTAGCATGAATATTGTGGAGCAGGAGAAATGTGGAAATGCAGGGATTTCCACTGGGTGGCGGGGTGTATTGGTTTAATGGTGCGGGCAGGGTTGTACGACGCAGGCGGTAGTACCAGGGAAAGTAACAGAAGAGGGGAGCCGAGTGTTATATTGCGATGCTTTAAGGAAGAATGTGACACACAAGAAAGAGGACACACATTGATCGAACGAAAACCTCGAACTTTAGGTAGTCTAGAGAGGTCGAGGCATTTGGACAGGTATACTAGCCTGTTGGCCCACCTAGTAACGAGTAAGTAATCTTTGTCCTCCATTTCCAGAATGAGGCATTCTTCATAAGCTTTGATAATTGGGCTTCAAGCTTATTCCAACCTGTCCACCAAATATCAATATTCCTACTACATGTATACAGGCACATACGTTATCATGAATGTTGGAAGTTTATTCTCTGCATTCGGACGTTGATGAGATAAGTCCGCATGCGGACAGATTAACGTTGCATTTGGCTATTGGGCAACCTCACCACTTCGTCGTATCACATGTTTCATGCTTGGCATCGTATGGTTACCTTACTTCTTGACATTCGAGCTCCGTCTTTCCGTATCCTACAAGTACCTCGTCTTGTTGTCGCTTGCGTCCCTCAGCTGTTGTTCACCAACGCTGAGGTACGCGTATTGTTTATCTTGCTCCAAGTCTCATACTTACTAGATCTTAGTGCACTTTCCAACAGGTTATGAGCCCTGTGTCTTAAACGACACAGAAACTGGAAAGATACGGACTCCCTCTCGTTGGAACAGCTCAATCTTCTTCTCCTTCGCTTGAATTCACTCTGCGAGTTGTCCCAACGATGGGAAAGTACGACCACATACCAGAGCTGATGGGAGCAGACAATTACATTCCCTGGGAGATGCAGGCGCAGCTTGTCTTAACGAACGATGACCTTTGGTGTCATGTCACCGAAAATGCAGACCCGAGTGACATTCTCGGAACGGCTTCGATCTTGCCTGTAGCGGCCGTCCCAGCAACTCCCACTGATGCTGAGAAGGCAGCTATACGAGCCTGGCTAATCAACGACTCTAAGGCTAAGACAATCATCCTCTGCAAGCTCGCACCAAGTATCCATCTTCTCATTCCCCGCAACGCTTCGGTCACAGCGCGTGATGCGTGGAAAATCCTCAAAGACCACTTCCATCGTAATGACGTCAGCTCTCAATTTGTCATTTGAAGGCGCATACAGGCACTTCGCATGAAAGATGCGCATGACGCAAGTAACTACGTCGGTCAGCATATCAGTTGCCGTGATCGCCTGATTGGCATGAGTGCTGCCTATTCAGACGAAGAGGCTGTGTTTAATCTCCTTTCCGGACTTCCTACATCTCCCACTTGGCAACTGTTCCGCACTCAACTTGAACAACGCATGCATGACAGTTTCTCTGCCACTGTCATTAGTTTTGCGCTCAGTAGCGGGAATCCCATTTCTGCCTCCTTCCAAACGAATGCTCTCACGTTCGAGAGTTGCACAGCACGCATTACCACAGAGGCCTCACGCATGATCAACACCCATCCCACTGCTGCATCTGGGCCTGGATCTGAGTATGCCAACTCTGTGTCTACCTCCTCCACTTCCAACGTCAACTCTATCACCGGACTACGGAAGCATAAGAACAATCCTCAAGGAGTCTTTTGTTTAACGACCGGATGTGGGTGTGGGGATCACGACAAGGAACATTGCTTTCGTGAAGGTGGAGGAATGGCGGGACAGGCACCCTGGCAGAAGAAGAAGAAGGAGACAGCCGCAGTCGCATCCAGCACTCCTCCCACTCCTTCACCAACATCATCTGATCCACCGCCTGCCATTGCAGCACTGGCCGCACACATACATGACCTATCGTGTGCGGGCATCGAGGAGTTATCTGACGACGTCACTGCCCACGCTCATGCACTTTCCACCATCCTAGACTCTGGCACCACCAGCACTCTCATTAGTGATTGCGCTATGTTTTGGACTTACTCCACCCAGGACCCTGTGACTGTCAAAACGGCGAACCATGGGTCACTCCGCACGTCTGGTCGTGGAGACTGCGTTGTGTGGCTTAAGATTGGTGGAGTTCAGCACCGAGTACGATTCTCTAACTGCCTTCACGCGCCTGGGGCCATGCTGAACCTTCTTTCCGTCGGGTGGATGTTAGCCAAGGGATGGGAATGCAACTTCCAGGGTGAACCAGCTCGTTGCGACCTCGTGTACAGAGGGACAACACTTGGAGCGATCCCCATGTCCGGACGTCTCTTTTATGTAGACCTAGAGTTCATTTCCCCTCAAGAGCTCACACCTCTGGTGTCTCAACCATCAGAGGTCTCCGCTTTTGCACGTGTCCCATTGACTTACGACATATGGCACGCTCGCATGGGTCACACTGGAGGAGAGTCTGTCTGTCGTCTTCCTCACATTGCTCGTGGGTTTTCCCTCGACTCTAATGAAGCATTGTCACACTGCGAGTCCTGCATCATCGCCAAACATCCACGGCTGCCTCATCCTTCGTCACAATCTCCTCCTGCTTCCCGTTTCCTTGAGTTAGTTCATTCCGACGTTTGCAGCCCCATTCCGGTACTCACTCCTCACCATAAACGTTACTTCATCATATTCCTCGACGATCATACAGGACTCCTGGACCTCCAGCTTTTAGCCACCAAGGATCAAGCTCTAGATGCGTGGAAAAGTGTACGTGCAAGGTGGGAGACCCGCTCAGGACTTCGCGTCATCGCCTTTCGTTCAGACAACGGTGGAGAATTTCTTAATGATGCATTTACCGCTGAACTGCAAGCAGCTGGGATCGAGCGTCAGCTCTCCGCGCCTTATTCGCACCAGCAGAACGGACGGGCTGAGCGTGTCCTTCACACCATTGAAGGAAGGATGTACGCCATGTTAAACTATGCGCGTCTTCCTAGGAATCTCTGGGGGGAAGCAGCCTTAACGGCTGCATATCTATTCAATCGCACAGAGTCATGTGCACTACCTGTGGGCAAGACACCCTATGAGATGCTACATAATGTTCAACCCGACCTTTCTCACATTCACATCTTCGGTTCCCGCTGCTTTGCACGTATCCCTTCTGAGCTCCAGGATAAGCTGGGTCCGAAGTCACGTTGTCTTCTTAGATAGATGATCTATAGATAAACACCTACAAAATCAAAAATCTCCATGGTCAGTGATTCAGACAAATACCAATGACTGATAACGTGGTTGTTCGTGGGTGGCTGTTTACACTTCCCCAAGCTATGTTCAGACAAAAGTACTTCCTGTGAGGTCAGTAGCAATACCAGTCAATCCAACAGTATGGACGCAATAGAAAATAAAATAAACAGAATGTAGTCAGCCCAACGGTATGGTGATGACAAAAAGAAATTGATTCACTCCAACGGTATGGCAGTGTTTAGAGAACAGAGAAAAGTCAGCCCAACAGTATGGTACTGATAAAAAAAAGAAATAGATTGATAAGAGAAACCCTTCCTTCAGTAACAATGCTTCTTGTAATAAATTTACTACAGAAAGTCGTGCGAAATTATAGCAATCACCCCCTCAGCACAAACAGGTAGAATCAAAGGTCAGGACTAATCAGTGATCAGTAGAACTCTTAGTTCACTATTGAACCTGCTGCCAAGGAACTCACGATGAGTATTAAACAGAATCAGGAACGGACGTCCTTGGATTTCAGTACCAAGTCCCCTATTCAACAACTAAAGTCTAGCAGACAAAGAAAACCCTG